CAGCAACTGAGCAGTGAAAGTAAAGGGCTGGAACTACCAGAGTAAACTGGTGCTGCTTAGCCTTTCACTGCATCAAATGATGATGGGTCTTACCTACCTAGTCCACATTATGACCCATTTGTGCCAGGTAGTTTTTCGAGGCCAGAAAACCCTTTTTTAAGCCATATGTAGACAGCCTCTTTTACTTTTGAGATGAATGGCTTGCACCTTGGATTTGTATGGGAACTGGTACAATTCAGATTTGAATTCACACGCACAGTGTGCATTGACATTTCTGGGACAAAAAGTTAAGCACAAATATGTAAGTCAGGCTTCAGTTTTGGGAAGAACAACAATAGCACACAAAGCTCAGGCTAAATAGGACAGCATTCCAGGATATCTCTGCAGAGCTATGGTGGAGGATTGCTAATGTGCATGCTACTTGATTAACATGTTAATCGCGGCATAAATCATTATCGGTGCCAAAACGAACATGGGCCGACAGTGTGGGGACGTGGTCAGGAAGGCCATCCACACCTTGTCATGCCTCCACAGATGCATCTCAAGCAGGTCCAAGGAGGTGATCCTCCCCCTCTATGCGGCACTGGTCAGGCCGCAGTTGGAGTACTGCATCTAGTTCTGGGTGCTGCACTTCAGGAGGGATGTGGACAGCATAGAGAGGGTTCAGAGGAGGGCCACCCGCATGATCAGGAGCCGGCAGGGCAGGCCCTACTAGGAGAGGCTAAGGGACCCGAACCTGTTCAACCTCCACAAAAGAAGGCTGAGGGGGGATCTAGTGGTCTGTTACAAGCTAGTCAGAGGGGACCAGCAGGCATTGGGGGAGTCCCTGTTCCCCCGAGCACTCTCAGGAGTGACTAGAAATAACGGTCACAACCTGGCAGAGGGTAGATTCAGACTAGACATCAGGAGGCGCTACTTCACTGTCAGGGCGGCTAGGACCTGGAACCAACTTCCAAGAGAAGTGGTGCTGGCTCCTAACCTAGGGGTCTTTAAGAGGAGGTTAGACGAACACCTCGCTGGGGTCGTTTGACCCCAGTACTTTTTCCTGCCATGGCAGGGGGTTGGACTTCATGATCTGCTCAGGTTCCTTCCGACCCTACCAACTATGAAACGGCAAGGGTGCTGCACCATAAAATGGCAAACCTGACATAAAAATGATCCAACAAATAATGTAAAACATTTTTATGATCAGTATGTGTGGTGCTTTGAATTGAATACATGGCATGTCCATGCACTGGGGCTCTCCAGGGCAGATGCTCAACAATCAGTTGCTTGTAGATTTAAAAAGATTTGAGATTAGGGAAGGACTTACACTTACAGACTGTGTGTGGATGGTGGCTTTGTGTTAGCATTAGTAGCATGCACTGCATGAACATGGGGAATAATAGCCAACCAGTCCATCTTTGTCTGTCTAACTCTGACAATATGAAGTCACTGTACACTCTATGGTCACAGTACTAACTGCTACCTATGTAGGAGGAGGAGGTAACAATAAATCAATAGTTTCTTACCCATGGAACTTTAAATAAGAAGAGGTGCTATAACAGACCCACCAAGAGCATGATCCTTCATAACTAGGCTGGCACTTAGTTGTCCCAAAGCGTATGACCAGATCTGTGTCCTTCTTTAGGTGGGCCCTATGGGAAAGGGGTATTGGTGGACATATACAAGATCAGGAATGGGTTAACATATGGTTAGCCAGAGCTATCACCTTTTCCTTCCACTATGAAAGCCCTGCTGTATCACCTCCCATTGAGCATAGGAATGCAAACACATTACAGGGGCACTGGGTGTGGGGGAGTGAGGCAACACCCCTCACCTCTGAGAGCTATCACCTTGTTCAGTAATTGCTTTTTAGTGAGGGCATCAGGAACCACTTAAGGATCATGATGTTCTGAGACCATATACATCAAGATGGGCATGCTCATAGCCTTGTTGGCATGTTGTGTTGTTTCTTCTTCATTGTTGTAAAGCAAGGATGCTCAAACTCTGGCCTGAGGAGTGATGGCATCCCTCCGGCCTGCAGAATCCCCAAGGGTCTGCAAATTTGGTGGTGGGGGAAGCAGAGGCAACAATTACTTTTCCCATGCTGTCAAATTTCCAGACCCACAGCCACTATACATTAGTGCATGGCCTGATCCTGCAGCATGAGGGCCGTGTGGAGATGGTACAGAGCCGAGCTCAGTCCAGCTGACTGCATAAGACCAAGGGAAGCAGCGAGTCCTAGATCATGGCAGACAGGCCAAGTTGGGCACATGGATTGGCCCCACGCCAATAATCTTGCCCACAACATTAAAAGGTTGAGTACTACTGCTGTACAATATCTATGTAAAGTAGAAAGGACGTATACACACAGTTGCATCACTGTTAAAAGTGAGCAGTGCCTGATATTGACATGCAGATGCAAAAGCTGTGTGTGTGCACGCACATACATCTGTTTTGGGGTGGGGAGCGGGAGAAGAAGGTATTACAAGTAGTGTGTAACCCTACTTGATAGTAGTCTAGTGGCCCTGAGAAAAAAATCTTGTGCCTCTGAATGTTGTGCAGGAGCAAACAAAGGGTATTTTCATGGAAATGGAAATTGTGGGAGTGGTAGCACTCACACATGGCACTGCAGTGCAGTAGTCACATCCACCAGGAGATGAATGCACATGATAATCACAACCCAGCTGTATCCCTTTGAAGCAGAAGCAATGATAGCAGAAGCATCAGTACAGTTCTTTCAGGGATATAGAGCATCTCTCTTACCTACAAAGCTCTAGTGCATGGTGCTACATAAGAATATATTAGCCTTTTCTGCCTGTTGTACACAAACGGACAATGCTGTATTTCCTACAATGTAGTAATGTACACTTGTCAGAAAAGGAACATTCATCAAAGCTCAACCAAGCAGGCAAGAGATCTAACATTAAAGCAGGGATGACCAGCCTGTGTCACAAGTCCCACAGGTGACAAAGGCAGCTTCTGTGGAATGCATCAGATCAGGGAGGGGACAGACAGTGCAGCAGCAGATAGGGCAGAAAGCAGAGTAGATTGGGCAGAGAGCACTAAGTCAGGAACAGAAGGTGCAGCAGCAAATCACATAGAAGAGGAGAATCAGGAAGACACTTGGGGAAAGGGCAGAGCTGAATTTGTTGGCCTGCACTGCATTAAAGGATTGTAACAACCATACCTTCAAGTAATGGTTAGCTAGAGCAAAAGCAGTAACTGTAACGTTTGCTATTGATATAATCTGATTATCCTAGTTTACACGAATACAGCAAAAAAAGTGAAGAAATCAAGTCATTACCCATCTATATTCAATGTGTTGCTTATTTGTTAACTGAAAAATATAAAGGTCAACCACTTATAAGTTCAGAAATGTCAAAATTAAGCTTGGCTGTGCAACTTTTTAATTTGCCCCCATGTGTTATGCTGGTAATCTGTCATATGTAAGTAACCTCAGAGCACAATTTGCACTGAAAGTGTTTTGCAAATAAGGCCTGCGACCACACAGTAAAGGGGGGGCAGCAGGGGGGAACGACCCCCCCCGGCAACACCACATAGGCACCCTTGCACCCCTTCTCCTCCACCACAATGTGGTCTTACATAGTGCCCCACATTGTCGCATCCCCTGGAACAGAGGCAGGAAGCAGCAGGTGAAGGAGGGAGGGGAAACCTAGAGACGCTGACTGCTGTTGCAGTCAGTCTTGTGGAAGTGGTGGCCAGGCAGAAGGCCAGGGGTCACCAGTTGGAGAGTGCTGGTAAAAGATGAGATCCTATAGGAAGGATAGCAGATAATGATAAAACTTACTCATAATATAGACAAGCACATGGGGTCCATTAAGCTTGTAGAGAAGATATACATTTACTGCTCTGAGAGGGCTCTTCGGCATAAGCTACACAAGTGACTGCAAGCTCTAGAATCAAGCAGTGTGATGTAAGTCACCATTGTATCCTGATCCCTCAACAGTGTCAGGTGGTGCCTGGGCCATATTGAGGATCCATTTTAGCTGCTATTCTTTAGCTCATGTATGACCTGGACCACAACATCTGTTACTACTCTCTTCTACAGGTTCCATATAGCTGTTTAGGTCTTCTTGGGACATCAGACTTAGTGGGAGAAGAAAATGTTATAGTTAAATTTGATGTGGACATCTGAGTTTAGAAGAAACACTATGACTCTTCCTCCTTAATTTTGAGCAAATCAATTTCTCTCTCTGTAAAATGGTAGTGATGAATACAGAATCTTCATTATCTCTGCATTCTTTCCTAGACCAATTCTGTTCTGTGCACTTACCTAAATTTGGACCAGGACAAGAATTGGCTTAGAGAATGCCACAATGGAAGCAGTACTAAACAAGTATGGACTAATTTTGCAGAAGTATGCCAGCATCTATCACTGGGCTGTAATGAAGCCATTTTATGCTATTCGTCACCTAACTTTTTATATATTTTTTTTATTGCAAGCAAGCAGTATAGGCACTACAATCCATTCTGCTTTGTCCCACTTTTTCATGTATATCTCACTAAATGTCAGGTTTTCCTATACTGGATTACTATTATAACAGCCCTTGACAAGCCTCATAAATGCAGTAGTTCAGCTTATAAGTGGGATGGATTAATAGGTTTAAAAGATTGGGAGCTCCCCCATGTACATATTCAGCTTCATATGCAAATCAAAGTGCTAATGTCTTTAAAATCTTTATGTTGTGTAGGAATTGCTCATTTGAGAGTATTTCCTTCTGTTTTGCTACACCAGCTGAGATTCACTGGTAGCACCCTGGTTGTTGGTTCCTGAAACTAAGCCTTTGAGATCATCAAAAAGATAGCTTTGGCATTTGCTGGTCCTCAGATGCTAAGCAGACTGAAAATCATATTTGCCACATAGCATTAGTGAAAATACACACTTCTGTAAATACATACCTCACAGAAATACTGAGATACTAATAGCTCATCTTTGAGAAAAATGTTATAGATCTAAGAATTTGTTAAAGAATGTCAACATTGTTGGTAACGTCAATTAAGCATTTAGTATATTTTTGAAATTAACTCATGCTGATCTTTAATAATAATCAAAAAATCATTTGATTCTTACAAAAAGGGACACGTTTATAAATAACAAATGCATTTTTCAGCAACAACTCAGTTGATGGCCCTGATTGTGAAAGACCATCCATACAAGCAGACCCTTCTGTTGGGCAGTCCCAGTGAAGCCAATGGATTCCTGTATGGGTGAAAGGTCAACAAGAAGACATAATTGCAGAATCAGGACCCAGGTCATTATCCTCTTCAGGCACTTGCCATTTGGCTAAAGCAGGTTTAAGGATTTTATTATAAAACACAACTCGAGTCTTTATGGATGCAACTCCCCACCAATTTCTACATGGGTGCTCACAAAAAAACGTGGAGAATTACTCTAAACTACATATACAAATATGTAACATTAGTAAGCCTATTAATAGCCAAGACCGTATTTCTTCTTCAGTTCTTCAACAGAATTATCCTTCAATCCTGACTGGTTCAAGTGACTGAACAATACATGTGCAGCTGTAATGAAGAAAAAAGAATTAACATGACCTTCTATTTTTCAGACTTCCTACTTTGTAACTCATGGGCTAAAGGTTAATAGCCAAATCACTCTTAAAACAGTAGTTTTGAGGGATGAGGTTTGAATTCTAGATCTGAAATAGTGCTTCTAAAATTAAATATTCTCATAAACTGAAAGAGAAACACCTAACAGTAGTAGCTAAGAACTTTGTTTGAAACAGTACATCATGCAGTGAACAGTCCTACAACAAGTAGTCGGCCAAAACCTAATTGTTGATGACAGAAAATAAGCAATGCAGACACTGTTTTCCGCTCCATGCCATTAAATACAGAAGGTAATAAGTTTGCATCAGATGACAAAACTGGCACAAAATAAAGATGTATACAAAATATGAGAGAGAAAATATACTAAAAAAAGATTACAAAAACAAGCCAAATAACAGTTAACAGAACTAAAAAAAACTGAAAACAAGTGCCTCTAAGAAGGAAATTTTATTCAAACATACTTTTATTTTTGTTAAGATGTAAAAATATAATAGGTATAATAACACTCAAGTCTGGGATAGGGAAGAGCTCTGCTTCACTGCAGCAACCATCCACTAGGTATAGGATATGTTACAAATCCTATGCTAATGGTACAAAATTACAGCTGTCAAGAAGTGGCTCCAAATTGTGATGGTGCTACTAACTATAATGATAAGCCCAGGTCCCTAACACAGCCCTCTAAACCAGGGGCGGGCAATTATTTCAGGCAGAGGGCTGCTTACTGAGTTTTGGCAAGTGGTCAAGGGCCGCATGGGGCTGCCCTGCCCCCTGGTCATCATACTGTGACCAGAAGTCCCACCCCTGACCTTTGCCACCAGAAGTTCCTCCCCTTGCCCCCTGAAGTACTCCTTTCAGCAAGGGGTCTTGCTATCTCAGAACCAGAAAAATACCAAATTATATTCTAAAAAGTGATCATCTACAACATTCATTAATTTGATTTCAAAAAATATTTTGTTCCGATTTACATGTGTTTTTGTAGGGTACACAGAGGTGACTGCACAATAGCTTAAAATGAAGTCTTATTTTTGTATATTGTGGGGGGATGGGTACAGGTTTGTGGGGGCTATGGGTATGTGGGGTGTGGGTGGGTATGGGGGGAGGATGGCTGGGGTTTGTGTATGACAGTGCAAGGGGAGGCACAGGTACATGTGTATGGAGGGGTGTGCATGTGGACTCACCCTATGAACACACACACACTCTGCCCCTGTGCCTGCAGACATGTGCGCGCACACACATACACACCCCTACCAGCAGGGTCCCATGCTCTAGGGATGCAGCTGGGAGCCACAGTCACATGGTGCTAGAACAGGGCGGGGGCAGGAAAGCAGGGAACTGACTGGATGTGGACAGGGCTGGGCTGCTCAAGCCTGCTGAGGGCTCCCTCTGGGTCCTACTGCCCCTGGCTCCAGCCAGCTTTGACAGGGAGTCGGGGCAAATAAATATTATTTTACTAAATTTTTTAGGGGCTCCGCAGGCTGGATAGAATGGCCTGGTGGGCCGTATTTTGCCTGCCCCTGCTCTAAACTATTCCAAATCAAGCTTTTACGGCTTTGATATTACAGTAATAAGTAATATTTAAAGCTATACTTCATATTCAAAGTAGTAGCTAAGTATCTCCAAGATTGTGAAGGTTTCTTCCCCAATCTGATTACTAAGTACAACTGCTTTGTGTTTCAGCTGCAGTTGTCACAACACTTGGAGTATATTTAACAGTAAAAATGTTTTGAACAATGAAAAAGTTAGTTGTAATAACCAGAATAAAGCCTCATGGTTATTTTGGATATTAAGATGTTAAATACTGAGGCTAGATCCTATTTAGGATGCATGAAGTTGCAGTAAGGGGCACTTATGCAATTTTGGGGTCTTAATCTGCTCTGTGCAAAGATGGAAGGTCCATTCACCTTTTAGCACAACCTCCTAGTGGTCAAGGAACTAGGGAGTGGGACACTTGGGTTCAAACTTTTGGGGATTTTAACCCATATCTTCCACTTCCTAGGAGAGTGCTCAAGTACCAGACCATGGGCTAGGCAGAACCAAATTCTTCTTTCATCCTCATCTTGAAGCTGACCCATTGAGGAGTCAAGAGGGAAAAAGATGAGGGGGCAAAGGGAAAAAACAAGAAGGAGCCTGACACTAGCCCAGTGATGTGCATACTGCCTGGGGAAGAAGGAAAAGTTTGGTTTTAGCCTCTGTCCTCAGCTTCCAAAGTTGCTTATACAATTTATCCAATGACTATTTAATGTAAAAAAAACAAACAAACCCAAACAGCAATGGGAAGAGGAGCAGACATCTACACATTAACCTTTTTTGTTTAAATAAATTCAAAAGCAATTCATTGTATAAACAAACTTGTCTTAAGTGCAGCATATTGTAAAAATGGTTGCTTAAAAGGTGATTATGTCCTAAACAAAGGTAGAGCAGAATTAATTTAGGATTAGGAATCGCTGAATGGAATTTCACTAGACAGGAGGTTGCCTAATAAAACTGATCTTCTGTACTAGTGTCTCTGCTTTTGTTATTAGATTCTACAATAAGGGTTCAACTTTGACAAAAACAATCCTTTACTGTACTTACTTTTTTTCTCAGAGTCTGACATAAACATCACTGCCATATCAAATCTTTTTAATTCAGACAGCCGCTGGAGAATGTCAAGTGTGATGGATGGCTCTTCTTTCCTAAAATAACAGATGGATTATTAAATACATAAAAGTTACTCTTGATCAGAAAGATTCAAAAGTGACAAGGTCTGTCAAATTACAAGACCAGATAACTGTAAAAAACTACTTTGTATATAAGCACTGGTGGTAGAGAATAAGAGCGAAGGTATACAAAGGACAGATGGATAGAAGTTGAGGACCTGATCTTGTTACAGTTTAAAAGAAAATGATTATGCATAAGTTATACACTCTGTCATGGGTTTCTGAATTTCACTACCCAAAACACTGGTGGCAGTTTTCTCTGTGAATCTTTCTGAAGTAAGCATCTTTGAGAGGTCATTCTTCACTCAAAATTGAAAAGAAAAATCAAGCTGCTTTTCTTTTCAACCAAAGAAAGGAAGCAATGTGTAACTTCACTTAAAATACTAGCTACAGCTTTGCTAAGACACTCATGTTAGGATAAGAAGTGTTAATTATGGTGCCTTCTTGGGAAGAAAAGAATATGATTTGCTGCTACTGACATCTACTAAAATGAGCTATATAATTTGTAAATCCAGGCTATTCTAGCAGTAGGAAAAAGGTGTATGGTAACCATCTGCCAGTATGAGTGCAGTTATATGAACAGTGAGCTGACTGTGGCTAGGTGCAGAAGTTTAAATGATCCAGTAAATATAAAAATAAACCAGTTTAAATGATCAGAAACTGATTTAAGACAAACCTGGTTGGATGCAGTATCAGATTTAAATGACTGAGATGAAACTGGTTAATGGAACTTCTGTCCCAGATCCCCAGGGGAGCGGGGCACACTAGGGTTTGCAGCCAATCAAAGATGAGCCTGCTTGGCTGCATTTGGATGCCTTTGGTAACGGTCAGCAGGCTGGGGGACATGCTCTGTAGCCCCCTGGCTACTGGTATAGGCCATTGCAGAAGTCTGGCTGCCTTTCTGGCTTCAAAAGTGAATGTGAGTTCATCTGCTTACTGGTTCAATCTACGCAGTTTAGAGAAACCTACAAAGATTGAACGGATTCAGCCTGGAGCTTTCTGACTGTCTGTACTTAGCCTGCATGGTTGCAGTCATTACCAATTGTAAGGAAAATCCCATGATTTTGATTTTGTTTTATAAGATTTTTGGCCATAAAAGGTGCTTACATATACTTCCTCCTTCAACAACAATACTGCCTACAGATTCTATTTTCCTTTAGACCATCTTTTCTTTCTCATCCTTTACACACTGATTTTAATTCTCTGCCTCATCAGGTCTATACAATAGCTGTTTTACAGGCAGTTCCACTGAATGAAGGACACGACTCCTTTTGTGGAACAATTTCTCACATCATTTATTGTTGGTTTAGGCCATATTTTTGCTATTGAACTCTTCCCCCTGCCCTGCCTCCTGCAATCTCATTTAGTTTTCACTTGCTTTTCTATATAGGAGAACAAAATGCCTAGTTTTAAAAGTTTGTGACCTGGGGCCACAGTAATTTAGGGGAGTGTCAGATTATTTAACATGCAAAAAATGTTAAATTCCCGATAGATAAGTACTTAGCTGTTAACATGTCCATTCCTAAATTTGCATAATTGCTACAATCAAGTGTTCTGTGCAGATCACAGTATGATTAAAAAGGAAATAAACTGAATTCCAAAACATCGTACACATCACAAGGGGCCCATAAAGTAATTTAGCTCATACTCATGAAATGTGACGGGTACAAATGTGCAGTTTTCGGTCCAATAAACATCAGACAAAAATGTAATTTCATATGGTATGGCTCCTTACTGATAGAACTTAAAATTAGTCACAAAAGCTTTTTATTTCATTGTCTATTTTCATTCTTAGTCTTCATTTTCTAGTCTTTCTGAAACATGCTTTTAGTTTCTTGAAAAATAATTATTTAAACCATTTCGATAACCATGCCCTAGTAAACTGGTACTACATGCTATAGTGTGGTTAATACCTATAAATAGTAAGCAATATAAATTGCTAGGAGAATGAGGGAGGAATTGAACTTACTCAATGTAAAAATCATGCAGAATTTTCAAAATCTGGTTAAATACATCTGGATCTAATGATTTCTGGAACAGTTTTGGATAAAGCGAAGGCTCTATTTGCTTTGGAAGAAAAACATACAGTTATTTAGAGGAATAAAGTATAAAGCAATTGTAAGAATTAGAATAAATATAAAGCTCTTCCAGCAAGATCCATTTCTCTCAAATATTTTTTAGTGCCTACCACATCATAGATACTGCTGCAAGCAAACAAAACAAGAACATCTTAACTAGTATACATCTGTCTGCCTAATCCTGTTTTAGTTTAACTTTTTTCAAGATACATAATTGTTAAACATCCTCTTTTAAATACAAAACACCTACACTTTTTTTTGTGTAAAAAAAAACAAACCACTAAAACACATTTAAATGTATGCCCAGCTAAACTAAGAATGAGAATGCTGGTATTCCTTAGCACTGTTCAAGGACAGACTTTCAGTTACCACTGACAACTAAAATCAGTAGCAGGGGATAAGTGGGCTGGGAGTCAGAAAGGTGTGAGTTACTGTGATGTTTAATACCTGGGTTTCAGATCTAAGTCAACATAGCAGCTCCAGCAGCCACAATGACAAGCTGCTGCCAAAGGTGTCATCTGGCCTGCAAGAAGCCCCATGGTCTGGATCTGGTCTACAAAGCCAAATGACTTGGATACCCCACTGTGCGATTGCACACCTCTTTTATAAACCCTAGATCCACTCTTCCTACTGCCATCCTGAGACTACAAATATATATATATGAGTAATTTACTTGAACTGCAGTAATTCACATTGAATGTATTTACACAACTAAGGCTTAATTAGAAGAGAAGGATAAAAAATAAAATTCTTCCACACTACACCAAAAATGTCAAATGAAACAGTTAAACTTAGAATGGAAATAAGTTTCACATGGAGTCCAAAGCACTCTGAACTGTGAAAACAGAATTTAAAATAAAAGTATTCTAACTTCTACAAAAACAAGTCACTCAAGACGTTGATTGCTCATTCTACCAACATAAATATGGGCTATTCCTTCAAGTACCATTGTACTCAAAGAATTCTTCTCTTACCTTAAGGTACAAGTACATCTTATCTGGACAGCCTTTCAATTTTCTGAAATCAGATTCGAGCTGAAATGAATTTGCTGGGATTGCAGGAACAGGAGATGTGGATATAGGAGGTAATGTTTCATTTTCCTTTTCTATGTGGTTTTTGAGATTGAAAAACTGAGGTGGAGGTGATGTAATTTCTTTCACCTCATTAACAAGTCTGCAAAGAGATAGTAAAGAAAACATTCCCAAAACTGTACAGTAAAAGCAAAACTGAAAATACTTAATATGTTTATTCTAAATAAACAAACAAAGAAAATAGTTCTGCAAGTAATTTGTTAAAACATGATATTCCTGGTCTACAGATGTGTGTTAAGCATGCTACATCTGTGCTGTTTCCAGAAATAACTTAAAATGTTTACAACAGAATCTTCTACCATTGAAAATACACTGGCACCTCCCACAGCTGCACAAAAAAATAACTTGCTTGGCAATTTCATAATACAAAACAATAGGCCTTTCAAATGTAAAACATTTTCAACACTGATTACAATGTAGTCATTTGTTATCCTACAATGTATCTGTCATTTCAATCAGCTTATTTTCAGAGGTTAAACCATGGCCATAACAACACACTTGGGTCTTAAACACTGCCTACTAAATTCATTTGGCTCTTCTAGAGAGGAAAAAAGTTCACAAAAAATCTTCCTGGCAGTTAAATAACGTAAGAAAGGAGAAGCAGTATTGTCATCGTACTAACATATGTTCACGAGGCAAAGCCAATCAAAAGCTGTCTTGAACAGCCAATCTGGAAGTCTCAGCACGTGGGTGGAATAAAGCTGGTATGGATAGCTGGTTCTCTGCCACCCAGTCTTGCCTACAGCCAGTTCTGGAGATATTCCAGCAAACAGTCTAGTCAACATGCAACCCTTTCCAGAGTTCTTAGCTGTAAACTGAAATTTGAATAGACCTGAAACTACCAGCTGCTTCCATAACTGGAGAAACAGTGGTTTAAAAAAAAAAAGACAGCAATATCTTTGTTAGGTCCCTTTCTTTCTCCAGCTGTGCTAAGGAGAAACCCAGCACTTCAGAACCTTACCTAGAACCCATCACTCAGTTAAAATGGAGAAAATGAAACATATTGCATATAAACTTCTCAGATACACCTGAGAAAAAAAAATTAAAGAAGTTTGTTTGTCAACCTGAATCTCAAAGGCTCACATTTCCCCTTGAATCACTAGGGCTACAACCAGGTGTTGTTTTTGTGGCAGAACCAGCTGTGTTGGTATCTGTCCTGGTACAGTTGATCAGACTGACTAGTAAAGACAGACATTATCCAGGGCTGTTGTCTTGCAGGATTGGGCCTCTGCTACTCCCAGGACTTTGGGGGTCTGGTACTGCAGGACAACAGCCCTGGGTTCCTGACTCCAATGCATGGGACCCAAGCCACCCTCAGGTTGCCATCGGCCACTGTTCTGCAGGTTTGGGTTCCTGAAACCTGGAAAGCGCCTGCCTGGGGCAGCTGGAGAACACAGGCATCCCTGGGCTGCCTGGAAATTGTACCGTAAGCAAATAGATTTTTCTCCTGATAAAGCTGCATAAACTCTTACTAGAAATTGTTCATGCCGCCATTATTGGACATTTGAGGTTCAGTAAGGAACAGGGATGTCTGTTTGCTCAGGTTTTATGCCGCCATGCAAATTTTTCTGGCATGGCAAGGGCAATGTCTGTTTGCAGCCTAGGTCACACAGGGTGCCTGACTGTGCAAAGACACTCCAAGCTAGCAATGAATGTGCTAGCTGTTGTACCAACTCTACATGACCCAAAAAGCACCATGCAGAGATAGACAAGTTAGCTCTGCATATACCAGTTCTAGAACCGGAAGCATTATGTCCCCTAGCCCCAGCTGGCATAACAAGGAGTAATGGGCACAAGTTGATGGAAAGGAGGTACAGATTGGACATCCGAAAAAACTACTTCACAGTTAGGGCGGCTAGGAGCTGGAACCAACTTCCAAGGGAGGTGGTGCTGGCCCCTACCCTGGGGGTCTTTAAGAAGAGGCTGGATGCCTACCTGGCTGGACTCATTTGAGTCCCGTTTTTGTTTTTAGGGTTTTTTGTTGTTCTCCCGCCCTGGCGGGGGGTCGGGCTAGAAGATCTATTAGGTCCCTTCCGACCCTAAAACTATGAAACTATGAAACTATAACCACATTAGTACAATCTCCACTGAGAATAATTGGTTCTGCTAGAGGTTAAGCTTATAGGGCAGGCTGCAGCATTGTGCTAACAGGGCAATGCTGTTTCTGGTTTTAGAGCTAGTTCAGGTACCTCCAGCCCATACTGCCTTTTATAATGTACTGGCAAGCAAATTCCAATGATTGTACACAGATTACTCACTAACAGGAAAGGAGTTAAACTGTCAAATTTCAATTATGACTACCTCTGAGTAGAGGCTCTAATAAGTTACTCAGTCACAGGCAAAAAAAAAGCAAGTATACATTCAAAAAGGAAGGTTACCCATGTATAATTATCAAATGTGAGACTACTAACAAGTTGTTATACTCACTGGATGGCTGGTGTATCACTAATTTCTTCTATTTTCAGCTGTTTTGCTTTTGGAGTATCAGTTGTGGTTAAGAGATCATCTTGGTTTGAACTCTTTGTTGTTTCTACACATGTAGAGTTAATCCGATTACTGACTACAGAAGTAGTATTAGGTAAATCACTATCACTATCATCAACTTCTTCAATGACTATCCTTCTCAAAGGTTTCTAAACAGGACAAATATATCTAAAATCAGTAACACATTCTACTTCATTCCAAGCAAAGCTTCAAAAGCTGTAAATAATGATAAAAATCCCAGAACTATGACTTGATGTGGACTGGGGCTAAATGATGCCTTACAAATATGTTCTGAGAATTTGTTTTTTATACTATAATATGCAGCTATAACATCATAAAATGAAAATCAATATTCTCTTACATTTAGTTTTCTTCTTCCTGCTATCATTTCCCTACCTTAGATCACCGGTTCTTAAATGTTTCTAATCCCACAGTCTGACTCCTCCACCAGCACAGCCTCACAACCTTCCTCACTTGTGGTTCAACTAGCATGTGTTCCAGTGATACCAGAACTAGCTCTGTACACACTGACTTCAGATCGAAAGCAGCACAGCCATGTGCGTACAGCACTGCACCTGGGCATGTTAGCTCTACCTGAGAAGAGCTACCACATTTACTCAAATATAAGATGATCCTAAATATAAGACAACCCCCAAATAATTAGATTCTACATATAGAAAATGTATAACATTTGTTATAATTTTCCAGGTATAAAATCTAATTATTGGAGGCTTGCCTTGAATCTGTCCTCCTCCCACTGCTATAGCAAGGAAAAAAAATTAATTTAAAGGGTCAGGTATCCCTCTTGCCCTCTGCCACCCCCCACCCCCCAACTTCTTCCTTCTGCAGCCTTTTCCCCCCAATCTGCATCCCTTACTGTCAAACCCTGCTTTCCCTGAGCATGTGGAAGTGAGGCGCAAATTTGAAAACACTGATCTTGAAATAAATTTATCTGTAGTAATTTGCATAATATTACTCCAGATACACACAGATTTAGTTTATCCAGAATTAATGCATTTTGCCTTTCTTGAAACTGCTGCAAGTTTTAAGACAGGTACTCCTTAAACACACTTTTAAGCAACTCTTTTGTACCTACTTATATACAGTACAAACTTTTCTTTTTTATTTAATTTGTACCTGAGGCCAGATTAGCCAAAACTAGCTCCAAATCCAAGAGTCCAGAACCATAAGTCGCCCTACTACTGGCAAACATCCTCCACCTGCACCTGGGGCTTCAGATGTTTCCAAAACCTTTGGCGGGCATCCTACTTACAACTATACATGATATTAGTCCAAAGCCAAAAGGCTTAAAATCTACAATATACTTAATTGGGCTGGGCCCCAGCAGTCTATTTTTTCAAGACATGGTGACCCCACAGCTCAGCCCTGCTCACTATGTGTGTACTCCAGATACCCCCTACAAAGGATCTTTGTGCTAATTAGACCCCATGCATGACTGGAACTCTCTGTTCTTGTCATGAGTCCTGGGATCCTCCAAAAATGTGTATGAAAATGAGGCACAGGGCAACCTGGTCCAGCTTCACCTCTTGGAGGGCAGGGCCATGTTAACCATATGCGACAGAGTGATAGAGGGATTCTGGGTGAACTGTTTGGGGCCCCGTTTGGTGAGGTTTACCAGATATTTAATGCTGGTGAAGAAACAGGAATAACTGGAAAGGAGAAAGAAAGGTACAGCTCAGCTGTGGGAACAAAGAAGTTAAAATGTATTCAATGTTGTGGCTCACCGACTAGAAAAGGTCACTGCTGAGGGGGGTGAAGCGCAACGGGCACTAACATACATCTTATTCAGATGGGCTGCACTAACCTATCCTTTTGGTAGGTAAGCCCTCTCCAGGATGATGGGTCTTCTGGCATGGTTTAGTACCCACCAAGGTGTTGGGGCTTAAAGCCCATTTTATAGAAATTGGAGTCTCTTCCCTAGCTTGCCCCTGCAGCCATATGGCTGAGGGCTGGCAAAACTTGGGGGCATCTGAACCCCAAGTCTCCGGGCTTGGGCCTGCATGTAGGATGCCTGCCATAAGATGTTGGAAAGATCTGAAGCCCTTGGTGGGGGTGGAGGATGTTTGCCAGTTGTAGGGCCACTTATGGTTCTGGACTGACTCATGGATTTGCACTTGATTTGGCTTGGAACACGAAAAATGTATTTATTTTTTTAAATAAAAGGTATGTTTCCTGGGCTCTTGTTGACTAAGATCAAGTGTGGGATTGAGGGGCTGTTCTTACCAGAATGGAAGACCTGCAGCAGCAGGGACAGCAATCTTAGTTTTGGACTCTGGGTGCCCGAGGTCACCCAGGAAATCCGGAACATAGAGAGCTACACTGATGTTGCGAAGAGGGCAGTGTAGCGGGCAAACTGAGTTATGCTAAACACTGTCCAGGTCTTCCCAGAAATAAGCAACAACATTGAACAGAGCACCTTCTGTGGCACTGGGAGATGTGAGTGTTGTGACTGGGCACTAGGTGAGCAAAAGACAGCAATTTCCCTATAAGGAATGTGGCTGACAGTGCCAGGGGATTGGTGCACCATAAGAGGAATGCTTGGCACAGAGACAGAGGATTGGACAATTTGGGATGAGAGAAGTTACAAAAGTGATGGACAAACAAAGGAACATGTGTGTGTTCTATATTGCCACCCTGGGGAGACAGGAATAACTTTGGACTTCTTGTTTGAACAATGAGGAATCCAGAAACTAACATCCCACACACCCGCTAGAGGATCTGAGGGCAGTACATTTCTGGCAACGCCTCCGGGAGATGGAGGTTGACCCCAGGCTGGAGGACTTTGCTTTCTATGGGGGAGACTCCCTGGTCAAAAGAAGGAAGACAAAATTATATGTTTGCCCAATATGGGCCACGTGTTTTACAGTCATGTTCAGTGCTGGCTGCATTTAATCAGCTTCAAAGTTGGCTTCCATTACTGAGCGCATGCTGCTACTGGTAGCAGTTTAATGATAGACAACATATTTAATGAGGTTTTCTTATATGCAAATGTAAAAGAAGCGGCTCTCTCCTTCCCCATGTTGATTGGGGGAAAAAGTCTTGTCTCATATTCAAGTAAATATGGTAGTCAGCCTGCCTATAGAACTAAGGTAAGACAACAGCATGGTGCTTTGAAAGTTTGGGGAAGGGAGGTAAGATTAACTGCTCCACACCCCTATCCCTTCTCCAACTTTTCAGTGCAATCCACTTGTAATAATTCTGCTGTTAAACAACTGAGAGCTACTCTGTATCACGGTGCATCCTTCCCTCAGACTTGCTCACTTTCTTTATTCTGGTTTCATACTTTTACGTTATACTTCTAATATTTTGTGAAATATTTTATCCTTTGATGTCTGATCTAACCTATATACTATCAGGCAATCAGCCAATCAAATTCTGTATTCTGACTAATGGAGAAAGCAGCAAAAATATAAGACTTGACCAGTCTTTGTTCTGCTTTCAAAGCTACAAATATTTCTGGTCTCAACATTTAAGATCTAGTCTCACCATTGGATTAAATTAAAATGTCAGCTACCAGTCTCCAGAAGACCTACCTGCCTGGTTCTAATTACCTGCAGATGGTTTCTACACTCTGCACTGCTGGCACAATGAAAAGAAAGCAGAATGGGACTACGAATTTTATTTGTTTAATCATAATAGAACTATGAAGGCCAAATTATTTTATATCTAGTATGGTGATTCTCACACAGGGTGCCACAGTACTTTAGGGTGCCTTTAGATCCTTTCAAAGGTGCCGCGGGGTGCCATGCAGCATTAGCACTGTTAAGTGTGCAAACATAATTCACAAGATAAACACAGACATGTCAGTAGGACTCCACAGTATCAAGAACAGGACCGTAACAAGTTAGAATGAGTTATTCAAAAAGAAGAATTGCTCTATTATTTTTCTATAGTAAAAAAAAAAGTGAGGTGCCTTAAGTCTAAAAAAGGCTGAGGATCACCGATTTAATAAATTCAAGCAACATAGCTTTTGAGCTAAAAAAAGAAGTCAACACACCATTTTACTGTGAAAATGAACTGTAATTTACAATGATAAAAGGATACTTTCTATAACATCTGGATTAATCCAATACTTAAATTGAAAAGATATTATCAAATTTTAAATTACAATTAGTCTGAAATGTGTTCTAATGGAATGAAAAATATTATTTGCTAAATTAGAATAAGTGCATTTAATATCTGTATGTTCTGCATTTGTACAAACTGCTGTAAAAACTCTTGCCTTCAAAACTGGAGACAAAAAGTTTATCAAAAGAATATACCTAATGCAAAAAGCATATTTTATTAAGTTAAAAAAGAGAGACAGGCATTTGTAAATTCAGGAATTCTCATAAAACTATGTCAGAATCATCTACAACATAAGAACAGGTGAGATATGACACTTTATTCCACATACACCATTTTGCAAGTATTATTTTCTACTTACAGTTGATCTAAGATGTAAAGGTTTATCAATGGGTTTCACCAGGTTTGGGATTTCTGTTGCTGATGTTCCAGGACATTCCAGTTGGGTGTATAGCCCTTTTTCAACCAGTTCCTTAAAGGTAAGTGTTCAGGTGATCAAAATTTCAAGTTAAGTTATTAAATATTACTAAGGAGAGGCTAATATTACGAGGAGAGGCTAAGACCTGTTCAGCCTCCACAACAGAAGGATGAGGGGGGATCTAGTGGCCTGTTACAAACTAGTTAGGGGGGACCAGCAGGCATTGGGGGAGTCCCTGTTCCCCCGAGCACTACCAGGCATGACTAAAACTACCAGTCACAAGCTGGCAGAGGGTAGATTCAGACTAGACATCAGGAGGATCTACTTCACAGTCAGGGCGGCTAAGATCTGGAACCAACTTCCAAGAGAAGTGGTGCTGGCTCCTACCCTTGGGGTCTTTAAGAGGAGGTTAGATGAACACCTTGCTGTGGTCGTTTGACCCCAGTACTTTTTCCTGCCATGGCAGGGGGTCGGACTTGATGATCTGCCCAGGTCCCTTCCGACCCTACCAACTATGAAACTAATGGATACAAAGTAAAAATCATATTGTAAATAATGGTTACAAAATAGAAAATTATTAACAAGAATACATACGTTCTGTATTTTACTTAGTTCACTTATTGCTTGCTTATTGCCAGGTTCAAGCTTCAAAACAGTTTCAAAATCTAATTGAATAAAAATAATAAACACAAAATGTCAAATTAAAAATTGTCAGGAATTATTTTTAACATGATTGTTTTTTCATTTTCCATTCTACTTTTCAGTTAGGTAGCAAATCAGAATTTCTCCCTTAAGTATGAATAAAATTTTACACTTAAACTTAAGAGGAAAAGCACAGTTAGTGCATCCAAATTGTTGCAACTATTCTGTGGTGAGGGGCCAGGAAAAGGGGCGAGAGGGAAGAGGGGAGAGAAATATAAAAAGTATATATAAAACAAAATCTAAAAAAAACCCGTAAAACTTTTAAGGAAACAACAAATGGGATTTGAGATAATAGCTGTTTTGTTGGGGTTTTTTCAGCCAAAGAAGAACTGCAAACAGCAAAAGTTACTTACACTAAACAAGACCAAAATATTTATCAGTAGAAGACAGGATTATTTAAGTGCAAGTTTCATGAATTTAACATTCATGAATTTCTTTAAATATAACCTTACTTCCAAATTTCCTAGCTTTAAAATGTACATATTCTTGAATAATTGTGACTTGCTTTAATTAATTTTCACATAAATTACTCAAATGCAGTCTAACTTAAAATACTCTAACTTAAAATCAGTTGCGTGTGCACGGAGGCAGAGAATTAAGAGACTACATGCATTTTATTGCAGAAACGTTCTACTCCAAATTGGCTTTAATATTTATTGAAAATTTAAAGAAGCAAATATGGAAGAGGTGGGGAGCAAATCTACATGTAGTACCTAACCCATCACATTTACTTTCATTCAAGGTCTCACCTTGCATAGCTTCTCTTAGCTTTCCTAGTGCTACTCGAGCAGTTCCTCTTCTGGCAAAAGCTTTGGAATAGGATGCATCTAACAGTAAAGCTTGAGTACAGTCATCTTCTGCCTCTTCATATCTCAGCAGAAAAGAAATTTTGAAAGATTATATTAATTATAGGAAGGTGTGTGTGTGTGTGTGTGTGTAAAGTTTATTTAGTTCTATAATAAACTGAACCAAAGTCTTCATACTGACTGCTAAAAATTAAATCCTTAAATATGAATTTTGATACCTAAATAAAACGTCTTGATTAAAAATTAAGCAATATCAGTCATGTCAGTGGGAGATTCCAAGTAGACAGCCCCTTGAAAATCATGCCCCTTGTATTTAGTAAATAGATACCAATTCAAGAGTTTAACTTTAGACCCTTAGTTTGCAATATTTTAGCTTTAATTGACATTATGCCACATTTTTCATCATATCTACACCTAAAGCATGAATGTCTCAATTGGAACATTTACAAAAGTAGTTTATTTCTAGTTTTTGTTTTAAAGAAAACATTTAAGTTGCTAAGTATTTTGAAAACACCACTCTCTCTCCCCTCCCAAAAGTAGTGCTGCTTGACAAACTTCTAAAGCTTTTTTGCATTGTTCTAAAGATTTTTTTTTATTTTGTCTTGCACTTAAAACATTTTGACAGCCACATAGAATGCATGTCAAATAGAAAGAACCTATGAAAAATGGTCAACCAGTACTATCCCATTTTATTTAAAAATGAAATCCCAGAGACATGTCATGTTGATTAACAACTGCGGGGTTTTGGTTAATACTCAATGAAAACGTACCACAACGCATTTCGTGCAATGTGTTAACTGGCATTTTAGTAACTGGCATTTCTATTAACTGGATTGGGTGGGGGGAGGGAAGCTCACGCACAGCAGCCACCGCTGCCACCCACCACCCTGTGCTGCCACTGCTCCAATGTCTGCACCCTCCCCTGCCTGCCCCCCCAATCTTGCTGAAAACCCCTGCCTCAAGTAACTGGGATTTTTATATAACCGGCACACTGCATCCTCCACTCATGGTAGTTAACACAGCTTTTACTGTAGTTACTGTTTTGCTTTTATTAGCTATTTATAACAATCCACTTAGAAGTCTGAAGTCAGAGAAAATTCCTTTATCAAAAATAGTTCTCCTTTATTCTGCATACAATATATTTTTTCTTTCTTCTACTAAAACAGCAATGGTTGAGATCCTTGGAAAAGGGAAGAGTAACTGCATAGAATTTTAGAAATAATATAAACTTAGTCAAATTTTCAAAGAGCTATTCAAGTTTCACACTAATTTTAACCTAATTGCTTTGTACTCCCTTTCAACATGTTTTCATTATCAAATAAAGAGGTTACACACATGCATTAAAGGAATAATAAAGAGAGAGTAATTTTAATTATATTTTCTATTGAGTGAGAATGATGGCAGTAGCAGGACAACTTTCAATGAAACCCTGATATATATTTTTTTCCAGTTTACAAAGAATAGAAAAGCAGCATTGTACACCGACCACCACTTACTTCTGAATCTTTAGATAGGCCATAGCTCTGTTAGCTGGCAGAATTGCGTTGGTGCCATCTGCTGTTATACCCCGTGTATAGCATTCTATCGCTGCTTCATATTTCCCTTCTTTGAAATATCCATTACCCTGTCATTTTGGAATAATTATATGATAATAAAGAAGTTCTAATATACACTGGATATTTGTAATTATTAATCTAGCATAAAAAATAATGCACATGAATCAAACGTTCTATTGTTCTGTGCTACAAGACTACACTGGTGATATTATAAACTTTCTTAAAGCTAAATCTGGTACTTCAAATAAAATGGGACCATATGATTAAACATTAATATATAGTGTAATGTAAGACACAAGCAAGGAGGAAGGACGGACGCTCAAGCACATACAAAAATACAAGCAGATGGATTTCAGCATAAATAAGTCTTTGAAGTCCGAGTCTACCAAAGCAGTCAAAGAATCTTACTTGTATTCCAGATACCAATACCTGTTACAACTTTTTCAGGCCACAAAATAATTTATCAGTGCGTCATTCCTTGTCTTGAATCCAAGAACCAACATCTCTAATTATTGTGTCTATTTCAAATAAAGTTGCATAATCACATATACATTTTCTAAGTAATAGTTTGAAAAATATTGCTAGCACTCCTGGCCTCAAGATATAAAATTTAGTAAGTCTATTTGTGGATACACCTCCCAAACCCTGAAAAAAAGAGAAATGAAGTTGAGACCATTGTTTAAGTTCTACTCCTAAAGCAGTAAAAAGTTTCTTTCCAACTGCCTCTCTCAAGCTGGGGGAAAAGAACGACTGACTCAGCTGCCTGTCCTTTCTTTAATAGTTGGCTCCAAAGACTGCACTCTCCAAATTTCTTGGAACCCCAAACAATGGCAAGGAGGCAGAGCTGATTCTGATACCTTAAGTATTCACATATATTCAAAGTAAAAAAAAAAAAAAAAGTCCTATTCCAGTACAACTATCTGCAGCTGCCTTCTCCTACTTTATATCCTTAAAAGCCCTGTCAGGCATTCGCTGAACCACCTCAATAGCCAAATATTTCCCACAAGTTTTTTTTACTTATCTTCACAACTCCACTATATGGTAGGAAACTATTAGGGGTGCACCGATAAAGATTTTTTGGGCTGATACTGATCTGACTGCCGATGTGCAGCCCAACAGCTTGGAGAACAGCATCTAGCTGGTAAGTCTGCTGGGGGAAAGGGGTGGGGGGAAGATCAAAGCCCCCATGGTGAGGGAGGGAGTGGGGCTGGGGAAGGCACTGCACAGCTGGGGCAGGGTGGGTCACAGAACAGAGCCATGGCTCACTGGTGGGAGGGAGCAGCTCCCACTGCTGTGCACACCCTGGGGGAGGCATGGGAGGGGCATATGCCCCCTGGATCAGAGTATGGGTGGGCTGCCACTGCACACTTGGGGATGGAGGTTGTGCCAGTGTCTTCCCAGTTGGGGGGCTGGGCCCGGGCTGCACTTGGGCCAGGCCGGGTGGGTGGCAGCAGCACTGGGAAGGGGGATTCCAAAGGGGGGGGCTACAGCCACACCAAAATTCAAAGTAGCCCCCCAGCACTGCTGCCACCTGCCCCGCCTCTCTGCTGGCCAGCTGCCCCGCCCCACCTACCATGATCACAGCCTAAGCCCAGCCCCCTCTGCCAGGAAGAGGCTGGTGCAGCCCCTGGCTGGCCCTGAGCATACAGTGGGCAGCCTGCCCTTGCCCTGTGCACAGATCTGGAGGGCCTATGCCTCCCCCAGGGGTGCATGCAGCAGCAGGAACTGCCCCCCTGTGGCAAAGTTCCTTTGGTACCTGCCACTTTAAAGGCTGAGAGCAGGCAGCAGGGCAGCCGGCAGGTGCAGGCCAGCCCTGATGAAGCGGTCACATTTCTGCAGGAGGACCAAGGGATTGGAGGAGAGGGCTGAGCGGCCTCTATTTTAGCTCAGGCCCTCAGGGCAGAGCCAGCAGTTGTTGTAAACAGCTGGGGAAAGAACACTGCCCAGCTGGAGCTGCTCTGAACACCTTGGAGGTAAGGGCAGGAACTCTGGGGATGGTAGGAAGCTTCTGCTTCTGGGGCATGACTGGAAACTACAACCTGCTGGGGAAGGATGGTCTGGTGGGACTACACGTGGTAGGGTAGTTCCCCAGAAATGGCAGACCAGTTGCCTCCCCAGTGAAAAGTGGGTAGAGGAGCCTTATAACCTCAGCTCCCACTCCCAGTGGATAATTTTAGAGCAGGGCCAGGCAGTGGAATCAAGCACATATGTAGACACCTGAGCCCGTGGGGTGTAAGACCTCTGAGCCCCAGTGAGTGGGAAGAAAAGGGCGCCAGTGAGGGGGCAGAAGTATGTGTAGAGGCCTGCACAGAGCAGGGTTCATGGTGATGTTTGAAGGGCTGTGCATGAGAGGTGTAGAGTAGGGTCTCCATAGGTGGGCCTGAAGGGCTGCACCAGGGGGTTTGTAGAGTAAGATTGCTCAGGCAACCTGAAGGGCTGCATGTGGGCCAAACCCCCACAAGAGTGACATCATGAGCAAGTTTCCTGGAGAAGGACTAGTGGTTGAGGCCCAGCATGAGGCATAAGGCTAGTGGCCACAGGGTCTGGAGGGCAGTGTGGCAGCCAGCCAGAATGCAAGTAGGACAGCTGGAAGGGCCATGTAGGGTAGGGCCCAAGGTGGACCTGAAGGGGTTGCACGGATCCATGGCAGGTTGAGAGTGACCCAATGAGGGGCAGTGTGAATGAGGCCTTGTGAGAGGGGGCAGAGTACGAGAGTAGAATGTTAGAGGTCCAGCAAGGGGCAGAGTTTAGCCTGGCCACAGGCCGGAGCTGTTACCAATTTGCAATGCCATCTGAAAGGCATGGGACATGGTGTAGGGAGGGTTGGAGCCATATATAATACCTTAGGCATCGGGGCATTAAATAGGCAGCCTCCTGCATATTTACATGAAACTTATTAAACAAGTCATGGCAGGAAGATAGAGCAGACTGTCCTAGACAGAGGGCCGGGCCAATGTTGGGATCCAGCCCTGAGTGGGCCCTCTGTCACACCCCTCCCTCCCTGCCCCCTGGAAGAGCTGTGGCTTCGTTTCTCCTTGACTGTGCAGTGCCTACTCCTGCCCTTGGACCCAGCCTCAACCCCACTCCCTCCCTCACTGCAGGGGCCTCAATCTGCCCCCACCCTGCCTCTGCCACCCCCCCATGCCCCTTTGCCCCCCAGAGACTTACTGGCCGGACACTACTCTCCAAGCTGCCGGAATGTACTCCTGGCGGCATGCATGCTATGGCTGCACGCAAGGACACAGCATTTATTGGCAACATTATTGGCCACATCAGTCAAAAGAAGCCGATTGCCGATAACGTCAATTTTCCTTTTATCAATGCCTATACAATATGGACCAATGTACTGGTACACCGCTAGAAACTATTAACTCCTTTTTATATCTGGGAAACTGATGCACAGGAAAATTGAGAGAGAGAGACTTATCCAAGGTATGTAATGACTCAAGGTCTAAATTCATCTGTCTCAAATATCAATCCTATATTTTAAACTCAAGATCAAGGCCTTCAAGTTTTCTTTCTTATGCTCCTTTTCCTTTATTTCTTATTTCTGCCATGATTACCTCATGCACTCATCTCCTGATACCTATTCCTCACCACTTCTTTTACTTTTCCTCTCAACCTCTCACTTTCCTCATGTTCAGCATAAGCAGGCAATGGCTTTCCTTATCCTTAAAGACTACTGTAACTCCTAACTTTACTTATTTCCCCATTCCCATTTTATTCCTAATTTTTTAACTCAATGCTTCAAGTTCCTCCACTTTACATTTAGGTATCTTTAGATGTCAGGGTGGATAAAAATCAATTATTTTTTTAAAATAAAAAAGATTGGATTTTTTTATTTTAAAGATGTTTTTGATTTAATCATATTTCTTATTTTTTTTAAGATACTTAAAAAAAAAAAGTAAACATTTATAGTTTTAATTTAGGATATGTTAAAGCTCAAAGATATTATCATGGAATAGCGATTATAACTTCTAATGATATACTATTTGAGACTATATATTCACATAACCTTTTTAGAAGTTTTATAAATAGGTCACAGCAGGCCATGGACTATATTAAGGGCCCAATCTTATGGGGCTCCCAGAGGCTCCTCTATAGATTAGTAAAGATTAAAGGACCACTCCACCGAATGGGACTTAGTGCTCTGTCTAGAACTCATTAAGCATCTCTGTGATACTTAATTTCAGTTCTCAAAGTGTGGATTTGTGTCTCCAGAGATTACAAACAGACAAGATTCTTTGGATAGAAGTGATCTCTTATCAGACCAACTAAATAGTTGGAAAATTTGCTCTTTGCAAGCTTTCAGGCACAAATGCCCTTCTTCAGGCATAGGGAGAATTTGTCGTCTCCTTGTTAATAGCAGTATATGGAGATGAGAGAGAACAGACCTGATTACCCACCCAACAGTCCTACTGTCTCTCTGCAAGTGCGTATACACAGTCACACCCTTACCTTCCTCTAAAGGTGCAAAGTTTCAAGAGATTAAATGAATAAAGTATATCCAACAAGAACGCACTTTTTGTAGAAAACAATGATTAAATCAAAGCTTCCCTGCCCAGTGATGTAAATCATGATTTAAATTAAACCCACCCTATTAGATCTCTTTCCAATCTTCCTTTCTGCTGCATAGCAGCTCACAAAGTCCCTAATTAATTTAAAGCTGTCTCAGGATCTCTATTTCACCCTCATCCTCCTCAGCCTCTTAGCTGCTTTTTCAAGCTGATTATTTCAAGGACAGTGCAATGTTCCTCCTGTCTTTCTACAGCTCTGTCCACCAACATTTTTATTCCTCTAGTATCTCATTAGAAAATATATTCCCCTGCCACAAAGACACACTTCTGCCTCTGCACTTACTTTGGATTATCGTAACTCCTTCAGCTACATTAACAAATAACAAGACTACCTCTCTGAATCTAAATCTTACTACTCAGTACATCTCTCTAGCATCTTCATATGAAGGTCTCCCCATATCCTAACCCAGCCTAGTCCTTACTGACTCCTACTTTTCCAGGAATCACATTCAGGTTTCCCATCTTCACATTCAAGGCCCTTCAGAACTGCATCTTTTTTTTTATCTATCTACACCACCTATTACTGCTTCAATTAAAACCGCTTTAATCAAAGATAACTCTTAATCCCACAACGTATTCTTATTTTCTTCCCATTGGCCCTGAAGCAGAGGCCCTTCTCTCAATTAATGTAACAAATTATTTCTCTCTCCTGAAAATCCCATAAAGGTCCAATTCTTATGAATATCTACAAGAAACAACAAAACCAAAACAAATTACTTGGTGGGTGGCCTGTAGGCATCACAGGTGTCTATTTTGCTTCTTGATCATTTAAAAAAAAGTCAATAGAGTGAAGCCATGAACTGTTGGCATTACCTACATCCTTCTTCGTTTACTAGTCTCATTCCCTGCTTAGACCTTGCAGCTGCACCACACTGGAAGATCAGGGGTTAGACTAATGGTTCTCACTCCAAAACTTATCATCTTTATATTGGTACAACTGCTTGCACAACAAAGCATTATCCTGATTTTGAATTTCTGGAACTGTCAACAACAGATTTTAGTCAGTTTAAACCCTGCTTCACACCCTTAAATATAAATGCACCCTATAAAGCTAAGCAAATGAATGACTACAGAGTTAAATAAGATACAATGTGCACTTCGCATTTTTCCATATTTGAAAAGTAAGTCATCCTATAAATTAAATAAGTTCATGTAATTTTTCTCCTATAGGTAAAGGTTTCACGATTTACCAAGTCCTTTTCTGCAATAGCCTTCTGTTTGAGCTGCTGCTGTTCAATTTGCTGCTTTTCTTGTTCTGTTAATTCATGCTTTTTGACAACTTCTTCATGTTCTGTTGGTTTTGAATCGTCTTTTGACATTACAGCCTGCAATGGAGAACATTAGCAATATCACTCAACTGAAATACCCGTTCCCTCCTCTCCTGCACCGAGTTTTCTTTGATTAGAATAAATCATGGTTTCTCTGCTGATATCTAAGTGATGCATTCTTTTATTTCATTTTACTTTTTTAATATAAACCTCTTAGTTATTGTTTGAATGCATATAATGAAATTTTTCTGTTAAAATGATTTTAAAAAGGGCTCAAACTTTTTATGAACACTTTCTCTGTGCAACACATTAGGTTTTATTAATATCTATATATGTGTGTATATGTATGTTATATAAACATATAAACTTAGTTATCAGTACAGTAAATTCTAATTCTGATATGCCGGTTTCTAAAGCACAATGCTAGCTAATACCAATGGTACCTGTACAACAAAAAGACTTAACATCAGAAACTTACAGAATTCATTATGTAGTTTATAGCAATGGGGATTGGTTTTGAAAGTAACTTTCAAATGCTTCCAAAATTATACCTAAGGAGGTAGTACACTGCAGTGATGCTGTAGCCACGATGAACCAGGAAATACCAGTATGTGAGGGAAAGACCTTTTTGGGGTGATGGCTTTTATTGAACCAACTATGTAGCCTGGAGAGACATTATACGTGCTTTTGGGTGTAAGGTTTCCTGAGGAATCTCTCCCAACTATGCAATAAAAGATCCCCAAAAAGTCTGGGGCACATGACTTCTGAAGAGAGGCTGAAGGAACTGGATTTATTTAATTTGGAGAAGACTGGGGGGAGATTTAATAATAGTCTTCGACTACCTGAACGGTGGTTCCAAAGAGGACGGAGCTAGATTGTTCTCAGTTGTAGCAGATGACAGAACAAGGAGCAATGGTTTCAAGTTGCAGCAAAGGAAATTAGGTTCGGTATTAGAAAGAACGTTCTCAATAGGAGGGGGGTAAAGCACTGAAACAGGCTACCCAGAGGTTGTGGAATCTCCATCCTTGGAGGTTTCTAAGACCCAGATAGACAAAGCCTTGGCTGGGATGATCTAGCTATGGATGGTCCTTCTTTTAGGGGAGTTGGACTAGATGACCTCCTGAGGTCCCTTTGAACACTAATTTTATATGATTCCAACTACTTGCCTCTCACTAAAGAGATATAGATTTCAGACACGTGTTGTCTCTTTTACACTAAATGTGTGAAGATGCCATGGATGTTTGACCTTTTGCAGTATTTAAGCCCCCTATTCACACTGAATGATTGCATCTCTGAATCCCACCTGTAAGCAGAGCTGTAAGGATTATATGAGCTAGTACTACCCTGTAGCCAAGAGAACATATACATCTCTTCCATACATAAAGAGATGTACCATGTCCTCTATTTACATGCATAGTTTTAGAAATGAAAAAGGCTATGCGCTTACCTGGAGCATTCATTTATCCAAACCCAATGTAAACTGTTTTTAATAATAAAAGGTCTGTCAGTGCTGTGATATTAGCAGTCCTGAAACTGAATTACTCCTTTCATTTTGAAGGCTTCCAATAGCTGCCCTGGACAGTGATTGTTAGAAATTTCGAAAGTGAGAGGGAGCTACTCAGTCTGGGGACACAGCACTGACAGTGCTGTAAGCAGTGCTTATTAGGGACCCAGAACGCATGGTGCCATGCTATCAGCAGTCACATAACTGCCTAGCTTTCTCACTTTTAAGTTGGGGCTGCTATTAGAGGTCTTTAAAGTCAGGGGACATGACCCTTAGGAATGCTATTACCTCCTGTCATTTTCAAAGCTTCTAATAGAAGCTCATTGACAAAAGCTTATTCTTCATTGTTTCTGGTGCAAGTAAATAGCCAACAATTAAATTACAGAATAGACAGAAGGGATGAAAGATGTCATGCACTTAACCAATATGCAAGTAACCATATTTATGAGAATATACTGTTCCAATCCACACTTGTTTGTTGTGTGTTATGCAATTAAATTTTGCATTTATCCACTTTATGTATATAGATTCATAGATTCTAGGGTCGGAAGGGACCTCAATAGTTCATCAAGTCCAACCCCCTGCATAGGCAGGAAAGAGCACTGGGGTCAGATGACCCCAGCCAAATGCCTATCCAGTCTTCTCTTAAAGACCCCAAAGGTAGGGGAGGGCACCACCTCCCTTGGAAGCCCATTCCAAATATTGGCCATCCTTACTTACCATGAAGAAGTTTTTCCTGATATCTAGCCTAAATCTGATCTCGGTCAGTTTGTGACCATTGTTCCCTGCTACCCCAAGAGGCGCCCTGGTGAACAGAGCATCTCCGATCCCTTGCTGCGTCCCCCTAATGAATTTGTAGGCGAACACAAGATCACCTCTCAGCCTTCTCTTGCAGAGGCTGAAGAGGTCCAGGTCCCTCAGTCTCTCCTCATAGGCCCTCCTCTGGACCCTTTCAAGTCTATCGACATCTTTTTTGAAGTATGGCGCCCAAAACTGGATGCAGTACTCCAACTGCGATCTGACCAATGCTGCATAGAGGGGAAGTATCACCTCCTTGGATCTATTTGTCATGCATCTGCTGATGCATGATAAAGTGCAGTTAGCTTTGTCACACTGACGACTCATGTTCATCTTGGAGTCCACTATGACTCTCCAGGTCTGCTTGTAGTTGTTCCCTGCCCTCCGGTGTGTCTACTTCTCCCCACATTTTTGTGTCATCCGCAAACTTGGACAGAGTACACTTCACTCCCTCGTCCAAGTCGCTGATGAAGACATTGAAGAGTATCGGTCCTAGGACCGAGTCCTGCGGGACTCCACTGCCCACACCCTTCCAGGTTGATAACAACCCATCCACTACGACTCTCTGGGTGCGACCCTCTAGCCAATTCTCCACCCACCGGACTGTGTAGTCATCCAAGTCACAGCCTCTTAACTTGTTCACCAGTATAGTGTGGGATACCATACCGAAGGCCTTCCTAAAGTCTAAGTATATGACATCAACCCCTACTCCTGCATCCAGGCGTTTTGTAACCTGGTCATAAAAAGAGACTAGATTAGTCGGGCATGATCTACCTGCTATGAACCCATGCTGGTTTCCCTTCAGCATAATTTTTCCTGCCAGGCTTTCGCAAATGTATTATATGCATATATAATAATATATATTATATTATATGCATATATTATGCATCAGAGTACCCGTATATGCGATTTTCTTTCTCTGCTATGTGTTTTAGTTTAACATATGTTTATTAGACTATGCGAGTAACCGCCATTATTTCTTACCTGATCTATTTTTCTCAGTTCATTTTTCGCTTCAAAGTTATTTGGATCCAATTCTAAAACCTTTTGATAATCTAAAACCAGAAGATAGGGAGACATCAAAATTCCATATTTTTATATACCATATCGGGTGACAAGTTTTAAGCTACTGTGCCTTTAACTGGGAAGTTAAAGTAGAGAAGGCAGATCCAAATAAGTTCAGTAATTCCAAGTCCTTTATGTTTTAAATGGCTTAGAATAGCAAGCTCAATATAGTGCTCTAAAAGGTTCGATTCTGGTTTCCCAGGTCACAGTCATTTGACAGATGCTATTATTTTACATGCTGATAGAAGAACAATCTGGATTTCATTTTCATCATTTCTTGAAAATGGAAGTTAAAAATTCAGCAAGTATAAAATCAGAAAGTATAAAAATAAATCCTCAAAAAGGAAGCTTTAATCAGTAAGCACATAAATCACTTACTTGCATTTTAAGGAATGTATCCAAAAAAACTCACCAACCTTCTTTGGCACCCTGAAGATTTTTCAAAGCAAAGCGAGCAGCTCCTCTTCTGGCATAAGCCTTTGTATAATTCTTATCTAGTGCAAGTGCTAAATTGCAGTCAGATTCAGCAACAGAATACCTGTGTCAACAATGTAAATCAGTTACTTTGAATATATTTAAATTAAAAATTAAATATGGTTCACCATTAAGTTAACAGATTTAATCAAATCATGAAGGACACTACACTGTTCATTAGAGATGCACTTATATATCGGTCACATATCGGATCAGCACCAATAAAAGGAAAATTAACATTATTGGCTTTTTTTGGCCAATGCAGCCGATTAATGTCACTGATAAATGCTGTGTGCATGCTCAAAGCTGCACACATGCATGTGGGCAGGAAT